TGCGTAGACGAAACGAACAGTAGAAACTAAAGCGTCAGCTGACTCTCGGTCGCTCGTCCTCGTTCCTTATTTCTTTTTCGCTTTTTTGCCATTAATATTTCCCAATTCCCGGGTAATCTTGGTGCAGACGTGATGAGCGTGCACGTGCTCCGTCACTGTGCGTATGAAAGGGTGGGGGAGGCGTGGGGAGGGGGGGGTCCGAGCTGCTGATCCATGGCGACCAACGGCAGAGTTTGCTCTTCGACTGCAAAAAAGCCTGTTGTGAAGGATCCGCGAGGCTCTCGAGGAGATGTGAGGTGGATGCTGCCGTCGTGGAACTATTGGTACGAGCATCTATTGGTACGAACAACTATTGGTACGAGCATCTATTGGTACGAGCATCTATTGGTACGAGCATCTATTGGTATGAACAACTATTGGTACGAGCAACTATTGGTACAAGCATCTATCTGACCCTCTGTGACCTCCTACGTTCACCTCCCAAAGAAGACGCTCCTGCAACGAGTATCAATCTAAGGAAGCGAACGAGAGCACGGACCCTGCTAGTACTGCAGGTATACACCTGATGACCACCTATATTACATATATAATACAGGTGGTGGTCAGGTGCATCAGGTGCGCTTTCCCCCCCCCCCCCCCGCAGTCGGGGATACAGTACATGCAGCGCTGGGGATCATGTGATAGTCACTGAACATTTAAACTGATTCTCCAACAAAAATATCCATCTGCACTTACACTTACATTACAATCTAACGTTTACTGCATCTGACTGACTTCTCAATTTCTCATTTGACGTGATAGATCACGACATAGAGTCTTTTCATATGAAGGAATATAGAGGAATTTCTCGTTATTCAATAGACACATTAGAGAATTGGAGCACGGAGTCGGGTGCTTTGCGCCGACAGTTGAGCCACATTAACCTGAAGGAGTGTCTTCCAGTCGTGTTTGCTTTTCACTCTCGATATCAAGAGCTCCCCGTCGCCATCGTCACGACACGCTGATGATCGTTTCGGCTTTCTATCCGTCCCTCTCTTTGTGTCCGAGCTTTGCAATTCTCTGTCCTCTTTTTGTCGTTCCAAGGAAGCAACCGCAGCTAATCGGCTGGATGGCCAAATCTTATTTCATGCTTGTTACACACTCACACACACACACACACACACACACACAGAGAGTCATCCTTCCGTTAGCCGCAACAGGCTAATTGGGCAGGAGAAGGAGAGCCCGGGGCGGGAGAAGGAGAGGAGGTGAGGAGGCTGTCGTTATGAAAAGCGTGGACAGAGGAGATAAAGGTTATCGACTCTCCACGTCCTCGCCCGGCCGAGGGAAGAGCACCGAGATGCTGCTGATACTGGAGGGATCAGGCCGGGGGGGGGGAGAGACAGAACGCACTTAGTCAGAGGGAAAGAGGTGATGCCGCACAATATGTGTGTAATGTGCGAGTGCGCCGCGGGTTAAATGTGTGCGTGTCAGTGTCTCATAACCAAGGTCAGGTCGCCTGCGGGCAGTTCATCCCAGTCGGCCCAACTAAGCTCGATTTCACAGGAACTCCGCCTGCTCCCTCCCTCCCTTTGTTTCCTTCCCCCTCTCTCCTGCTTCCTTGCCCCCCCCCGCCCTCTGACGCTTCCTTTCCTTTGTCTCTCTGCGTTCCAAACCCGCGTCTGCGGTGCAAAAAGGATCGATTCCCGTCCCCCGTTTGTGTCTCCGTCCGCCTCCGCGTTCATTCTCTCGCCTCCGTCACCGGACCTCCGTCACAAGAACGGCTGATTAAGGTTTGCGCCGCGCTCAGCGGGCGCGCAGAGGGGCAGGACAACAGCGCCTTCACTTCAAATACCATTTAAGGACCCAGCGAACAGCGTGTGGGGGCAGGAAAACGTGCCGTTGTTTGTGCGAAACACAGAGGCGAGAGGCTGTGTTGTTTACTTTAGTATTGATCCATCTCCTCGCAAAATCAATAGTTTGCAGAAAAGACGTATCTCAGTATCAAAACTTAGATTTAGTTATTAGTGCTGGATTTTCTCGAAAGGGAAACATCGACACGGGCGCACAAATGCATAACGTCTTGGCGTGCGAAGACAGAAGAGCCGGCTTTATTGTCTGAATAATTACTTTACAAGTCACGCTTACTCTGAGAACTACACACACACACACACACACACACGCACACACACACACGCAGGGAAACACAACACGCTCTCCCCGAGTGGATTACACACCTCTCCCGGGTCGACATCGAACGCCGTCACGCCGCTTTCGCCCACCGGGACACAACCGACGGAGGAGCGAGGATCTGTGTGTTTGGGTGGAGACTCAACTTGAGATGTTCAATCAGGGCTCTGACACACACACACACACACACACACACACACACTCGGTCTATGTTGGTGGAACGTTGCTGCCCGAAATAAAACCATTTCCGTTTGTCTTGTGATGAGCATCTAGCGCACACGTTCGGCCATCTTGTCTGGGCGACTATGAGTCTCCAGGTGGGGTGGGGGGGGTGAGGGGGGCGTGTTTGAGAAGATGATTGAATCACCTGAACAGCAACAGTGTAGCGAAGTATCTCAGAAAGAGGGAAACCATGCGAGGTGTATCAGTCGTGGAGGGAAATGCCACCCGGACGTCACGCGTTCTCCTCCACGACGACTCGAATGAGGAATTTGTCTTATCTCGGCCCCCCCCCCCCCCCCCCCTGCGGCTTTGGCGGCTGAATGCGGAATGACTGCTGCTGAATCTGACAGCCCAAGAACCCCTGAGCAAAACACTGAGCCCCAAATGCTGCGAGCCCCCCCGGCGCAACCTGCTCGTTAAAAAATGCAAAAGCGTGGGGAGATAAGTGTGTCCCAAGGGGGAGGGGAAATGGGGGGGGGGCCTATTTTATTGAAGAAACACAGGTCTTACCTGTGCTAGGGTATGGGCCTGAGGGGTCTAACCTTTAGGGGGCCGTCCCAAACTCCCTTGCACAAGTCACAGTATTGCACCGAGGGCTCTCGTGGCGTTACCGACACGGGATGCCGACAGGATTCTGGTGTAAATTGGCCCCTTCCTCCTCCTCCCCCCTCACGGACAACACCTGCGTGACGCCTGGCTATTTCGGTATCTAATAGAAAATGTAACTGCCCGCTGTTCTC